ATGTTACAACAAGGTAAGCCATCAAGTTGCCACTGCCTACATTTACATGTTTTTTTGTTGAAAATCAACACTGGCGTTTTTTGGAATTTTTACCTCGTATCTGAATCTTGGGACCAGATGGACCCTCCAATTACTAAATGCATTTTTATTTAATTTTACAATGTTACCATACTAGTGGGTGAGTGTTCTTGGTAATGAAGCTACAAAAAATAACATTTGAAATAACTAAAATCAATAATGTTTAACACAATCATTTATATAACATATTAATACCAGCAAAATTTTGTCTTTAAAAAGTCCATTGTTGCACTAAAAAGGTCAATCAACATCAACAATTACTGTACATCGTAAGATTATATTGATTTCTTAAAAAATATATCATTGCCCAACTTTCAGGATTAATTCTTTGTAAGTATTCACATACTTCTACATTTTCCATTCTCATTAGATAGGTTTTCTGGCAATCTAAACACATGAATCTAGCAGCAAAAGCATAATAAAAATCCTATGTTACAACAAGGTAAGCCATCAAGTTGCCACTGCCTACATTTACATGTTTTTTTGTTGAAAATCAACACTGGCGTTTTTTGGAATTTTTACCTCGTATATGAATCTTGGGACCAGATGGACCCTCCAATTACTAAATGCATTTTTATTTAATTTTACAATGTTACCATACTAGTGGGTGAGTGTTCTTGGTAATGAAGCTACAAAAAATAACATTTGAAATAACTAAAATCAATAATGTTTAACACAATCATTTATATAACATATTAATACTAGCAAAATTTTGTCTTTAAAAAGTCCATTGTTGCACTAAAAAGGTCAATCAACATCAACAATTACCGTACATCGTAAGATTATATTGATTTCTTAAAAAATATGTCATTGCCCAACTTTCAGGATTAATTCTTTGTAAGTATTCACATACTTCTACATTTTTCCTTCTCATTAGATAGGTTTTCTGGCAATCTAAACACATGAATCTAGAAGCAAAAGCATAATAAAAATCCTATGTGTTCATCGAATCTAGAGGATCTAAGTTTCATATTATTAATGCAACTACTACTACAAAAATGAAAGAATGTACATACCTTTTTTTGATGCAAATGATGTCCATTCTTGAGATCTTGTTCTTCCCATATATTGATTGAAGAGGACCCAAACCAAAATCCTTCTTTTGGTTCACACCCAAGAACACATATATTGATTGAAGAGGACCCAAACCAAAATCCTTCTTTTGGTTCACACCCAAGAACACCCAGTACAAATCAATGAAAACCATTAGAAATGATTGATTTCCACAAACCCTACAGAGAGTTTGGAAATTGTCCATAATTAAAGAGAGAATGAGATTAGCAAAAATTATAGCCAAGTAATAAGCAATTAGGGTGTGATCCTTAGCACCCTATTTATAGGTCTAAAACTCTTACCCCAAAAAGCAACTTGAAGCCCATGTGGGATAGCTTTAAAATTTGAAATGTACTTATCTCGTAAGAATTCTTGAATATTCCAAGTAGTTAACTTTTAATTAATTAATATTCAACCCCTTGAACTAATTAATTCCAAAATAGTTTCTAATTAATTTGCCAAATCAATAATATAATCTCTCCTAAATTCTTTTTACTCAACTGGGTCATAAAGGACACCCAAAAAATCCCTATTATTATTAAAAATATTATCAATAGTTAACGATCTTGGACACTCTTTCTAACATCATTATATTCATGGAAAATATTAAAATCTTCAATTGTACATGATTTTTAAGCCACCCAAATTAATCCTTTAACCGTGCCACCCCTCATGTATTTAGATGTAATATTGAAATACAAATGTATACCACATATTCCATGATGTGCTTGAGGAAAAATATTGGCAATGGATGCCTATCATATATGAATGTAAGATCCTCCATATTGCCTATGTAATCATGCAGTTTATGAAGAAACCATGACCAATAATATGTACACTCGCTTTTTCAAATGTCACATGTAACTAGTAATATTTGGTTATGTCCATCAGTGCTCTAAAACTCAGCCAACTTGGGCGAGTACTCTGAATCGGATATATATCGAGGAAGTTTTCTAAGAATTAGGGAAAAAACAGGAAGAGATCAAACTCAGGGAAAATCAAGCCAACTCGGGCAACTCGTCCAATCCAAAAAAAAACTCGATCAAACTTGGAAAAACTCAATCAAATTCAGAAATTTTCACTTTTTTAAAATAATAAAGTATAATTGTTATTTTTAATCATCTATTTTGTTATAAATTTTAATGAACTTATGATATTTGTTATATATATAATTTCCCAAAATTTAATTTCTTTATAATCTACCTTATCTGAGTACTCCCTGAGTACTTCCTACCTAGACCAAGTACTCGTCACTCACTAGTCGACCGACCTAGTAATTCCTAGTGACTTTTGCAACATTGATCATAACTGCAAGTAAAATGGTACCTTCGAACTTGTCCTGTAAGTGAGTTGCATCTACTATAAGGGTCAACATACAATAATTTAGGAACTATCTTATCTACAAAACATTGGAAGTGTATTTAAAATTACTCATTCATGTCGATTATATCCAAAATATAATTATAAAAAGTAGTAATACTTATTGAGAAACCAAGTACGATATATGGGAACACAAACTGATCATCATCATATGTTTTAATATGTGTCACCATGCGGGGATTATGTTTGACTAAGTTGTAGAAATAAGTTGGTTGTTCGGTACATAATTATCTTTGGTACCTCTTAACAACATGAGTGCATCTTGTTTCGCCCATCAAGCATGTTGGTATGTGATACTAATTTTGTATTTTGAATTCACATCTGTTACAATCTCACCTCCTTGGTAGAATCTGCTATAATCTCTAGCTAAAACCCTTATTAATCAAGTGACCTAACAGTTTTTTGTTTGCTTGTGGATGCTAAGGTTGCAACTATGTTGAAGAACATGTGTGTTTATCAACAAATGTTGTGACTTGGAAAAGTCCATTAGATATTTTGATTCCATTTCCCTTATCAATTAAGAACATTTTCCTCTTAACAAACAATCTCATACCTTGTTTTTGGTCAATCTAATTATCTTGGATTGAAAACCTGCCTCAAGATATTTTTCTCCAGTCACCACTTTAAGCTCATATTTTCTTGAGAATATTTGTAGGCATTCAATCTTTTGAAAAGGTTCTAACCTTTGTTATAAAATATTGTCATTACCAATGACTGGACATGATGGTAAATGGGTCATACCAAATAATACGGTATCCGAAAACCTAGGTTTAGGTTCATCATCTGACTTGTCTCAATAATAATTACTTTATAAGTGAAATATATCTAAACCAACATTTCCTAACATCTGCAAAAATCTCCGTAACCATCTAAATTTTCATCATTAAGAAACAAAAATTTTTGGGTTTTCATTTTCATCTACTATTTGATATCGTTAACATGAACTTTTTGTTGGCGTTCAACATTATCATGTGCACCCACATCATTAAGATATGTACCAACATCATCATCACCAACATACTTATAGTTTTGAGGATCCTTATAGTGAATCATTGAATGCATCATGTTTTTTATTTTCAGAAATACTGTTCAAGTGAGGTGCACTAGGAGTTGAAGAGACAAAATCTCCAAGATCATTTAGATCTTTTACAGGTTAATCAAAGAAGAACAAACAATTATATCAAACAAAATAATAAACACAAGATGGAATCAAGATAATGTTGAATGATTCAAATGTAGTCACGCCTTAGCAGAGCTCGATTAGGAACTTCCACTGTAGAGGCGAGCTAGGGTTTACAATACAATAAAGTAAATTCTTCAATCGATGCTTAAAATGATGCATGCATGAACCTTAAATACTAAAACCCTAGAATAAAACAAAGCACGGTTGGACAGGACCAAACCGGTTACAAAACTAGGCTAACCAAACCGAGCCCAAGACGCAACATTCAAAACTCAACAATCTCCCCCTTTGCATCAATTGGGGTGAGGCCTTTACTTCGGTTGAGTGACCTTGACCTGCTTCACAACTTTGAACAACCGAGGAATAATTGCAAGAAGTGTCTTCCGAAACTGAATGTACCAACGAATCATATCGGTGAACAACTTCTTATCAGCTTCAGTATTCTGTTTACATCTGCATATGATCTCCAAAATATGCTCCAAGAAAGCAGTAGAGAACAGATGCTTATCAATAAGACCGAACATGCATTTTTTATGTTCGCCCCTAATGAACATCACAGTATGAAACTTAGGATCGATCTTTCCCTTGATAATCGCATTCACATTGCCAGCTCTTACAATCGGTTTCACCGTAGTTCGCTTATGAATGGCAGAAGCGATTTCTTGATCCATTTTTGCTACTTCGTGAATGTAACAAACAAGCATTCGCTTGATGTGATCAATAATCGCTGATACTCTTATGGACTGGATAACAAAATGTTGTTGAGGAGTATCCAGTCGTGTGGGTTCAAGTCCGGTAGATCAGTCAGGGAAAAAGTATGGACTGAGCTAACCGAGCCTCGGGTTACTTTGAATTTGACATTAACAAATTTCCCAGCTAAAGAAGGCTTCAATACCTTGACCATTGTAATCTTCTTTAGGCTCTATGTCAAGTCTTGTGGCTGAGCAAGCTCCAGATAAAACTCCAACAAATCTGGATCCACCTTTGGGTCTGGATAAGGAACGACAGCAGTTGAGGCAAAACAGTGGAAGATAAATGCCTTTTGGTTGATTGGCATATCGAACTGAGCGTCCTTCGAATTCTCAAGACTGAACGACATAACAGGTTCAAGCCAGTGAGTACTCGATTCATCAATAACTTCCCTCTGGAGCGATTTAATGGTCCATTCCAGAAACATGGACTTCTTTTTCTCTTGGAGTTCCTTTTCATTCATTTCTTTCTCCAAGAGATCCAACTTCTCCCGAACCTCTTGATCAGAAGGCTTGAATTTTTTATTAGGTTTAGAAGGACTCCCTTTCATGATGTCTTAAATATCATCATCTTCATCAACATCATCTTCACCAATGTTCTTCTTTCTCTTTTCCCTGTGACTGACCGAAGCTTCATTATCCTTCGGTTCAGCAGAAGCTTTTGGTTTTGGAGGAGGTTGAGTTTGAGTTTTATTAGTCTTGCCTTGTGGATTCTTTTCTCCCCCTTGTTTTGGAAGAACAGAGGTCTCCGAAACACCCTCAATCCTACTCAGGATATCCAAAGCAGGGCGTAGCTTTTCAGCTAAGTGACGTCTAATGGGTATAGTTAAGATAGAGTCATGGGCGTCCAGGAGATGCAATAAGATAGAATGGACATCGCCCACGGAGCTTCGAAACACCTCTCGTTCAGACTTTAAATCGTCAAGCTCTTTAGTTGTGGTCCTGAGCTTTAAATTCTGAATTTTAAGCTGAGAGGTTCGCTTGTCCAGCTCATCCATGATTCTATTTTCAACTGCAAGCTTAGCCTCAAGCTGAATTAAACGAGTATCAACTTTGGTGTGGAGCTCTTCGTTAGCAGCTTCAATAGCTTTTCGAGCCACTCCAAGTTGTGTCATCTCTGCCTCCAATGAACGTTTGATAATATCAACAGATGCGTTCACTGTTTGTGCATTTATCTGAGCACCTGCTTGCAAAGAATCCAAAAATAGTTGAGCCTCTAATATTAGCTTTTCAACTATCGCAGTCGCATCCTGACATTATTTTCTTGAGTCTTCAACAGCAAGCAAAGCTTTCTGGCATTGAGAGGTAGAGGCTTCAATAGCCTTTGCAGCATTGGAGATGGAGGCATCATGGTCTTTGATAACAGAAGATAACAAAGATTTGAGAGCAGCTTCTGAATAAGGACCGGCAGTGGATGAAGAGAGTAACTGATCAATCTTATCAGTCACAATTTTGAGATGTTTCATGGTGAGTGGAGCGTCGTCGTCGTCATCGTTTTGGACATGATAATGACATAAGTAAGTAGAATCAAATTCCATGTCCTCACCACCAAGAACGGTATTGGTTTCAATTGAACGTGCAGGAGATAGAGGTTTGGTGGTTAAAGGGGTTTCGGGTGGTGAAGAACGAACCCTCGTATCAGATACGTTGCTTTGAACTCCATTGGTGGTTGTAGTGGTAGCATCAGTAAAAATCGATGTAGGAATGGGAATGGTGGAATAAGGTTGTGATGTGATAACTGGGAAAGTGGGAGGTAAGGAAATAGGAATGGAAACAGGTGGAGGAGAAGGTGCTTTGGAGCGAACTGGTATCTCTAATGTAGGCGAGCGAGGTAGGGTATCACCACGCACCGAGCCTTCATCAATGAAGCTTTCGCTCTTAGATTCACTAAGAATGATCTGTTTATGTCCAGTAGGGAGATACTCAGAGTCTGAGTCACTTGATGATGGAAGGATAAGCCTCCTAGCAGGCTTCTTGGTCTTCTTCTGCTTGGATTGGGAAGGAGCCGCCTTCTCTGACTTGCACTTCCTTGTAATTTTCCCCTTAGCTCCTTTGCTAACCCTTTCTTCCTTCTTCTTTTCTTGTTTCTTTCCCCTCTTTGTTAACTTGTCTGCTTCCTCAATGGAACGAATCATTGCAGGTGTGAGTTCCCTTGGACCCGAAGAAGGAAGCTTCTTGTACTCTTGAATTACATTACTCGCCTCATACACACAGGCATACATGGATGTCAGAATCGATCCAATAAACAAATACTTGGACAGATCAATGACAACTATCTTCGTCGTGTGGAATGTTGTGATGGAGGAGAGAAGTGAGTCTGCCATGATCGGGACATGATGACGATCCATCGCCCATTTTGTGACAATTGCCCAGAACCTACCACACGAAACTTCAGAATGGCGAGAAGATGAGGATAAACTTTGAAAAATCTATTTCCACAGGACTGAAGCATAGTCGAGATGGATCCCGTTGAATAACCCATAAAGTATGGTCATGAACGACTTTCTCATCCCATCTGATCCAACGCTTTGCTCTGAGAGTCCTTTGAACAGGATAGTGAAGAGGCCATTCCATTGTGGAGGAAGGCATGATTTCTTGACCTTCGTCACGGTGGTTAGGGTTTCAGTATACCCCATGTTGTAGAACATTGAGAATAGTTGACCAATTGAGATGGAATTAGGGTTCACAATGGAAGTTTCGTGAGCAAGACCTAGTAGCATGCAGGATAAGTTCTTGGAAATCAAGGTCTTTTCATTGTGAATATCGAAGTGGATTCTCTCAGTGACTTTGTCATAGTGAGCAGTTGAGTAGATCTGAGAGAGATAAGACATAGGAACTACCTCTACCTGTGATAGAGCGATGACAAGCGGAGAGTATTTGAGGTATTCCACAACTTGCAGCATGTAGGGGTCATAGGTGAATGATGTAAGCTCGATCAAGAGGTTTTAGTGAGGCTTGATAGTCAGAAGGGTGGAGTGAACAAAGGTGTCTTGAACAGATGAAGAGTCCGCCATTGATAGAGGTTGAAGAGGAGATGATGAACAATGGAAGAAATCGCCTTTTTGTTGTGGGAGATTACAAAGTGGTAAAGGGTAAAGGTGATTTGGAGAAACCTTTTATACTTGGGATTAGGAGAGAGAAATATCCGCCCAAAATCTTCTCTTTTGTTAAACAGTTCCAGATAAAGTAGGGATTAGACAGTTGGAAACCCCTATGATTACGCAGGAGAGAGAAAACGTTTCGGTTTTACGCGCCTTTCCATACAAATCGCCTTTTTAAATCGCCAAATGTTTGGATAATTACTGACTCACCCCTTTTGCTTTAATTGAAACGTCACCAACATAAATGACATGAGTCAGTGTCAACTTGATCATTTCTTTTGAGAATAACCATGTCACTTTTAGACCCGAAGCTATATAATGAAAAATAGCTTATACAAAACAGAATCGGATTTTTGGAAAATCAAAGATTTTCGTGCATAGTAGTGTGAAAGATAAAGAAATAAATCAATCTCTTTATGGGATATTGTGATGTTGATTAAGACATAAAGCAGTGGATCCCGGGCACGAATCTCTTCCTTCAAAGTCAACAGAGACTTCAAAGTGTTTGTGTGGTTTCCCGTTGAAATACGATCAAGTACTTATTAATAAGCAATGAAAGGCATCTTTTATATATAGGGCTTTTAAGGGTGGCTTTCACTTTAATTCAAGTTTCAGTTCTTGACATAAGACCGAAAGAGAATGAAGTACTTGTGAGACCGATGTGGCCCGTTGAACAAGTAGGGTAGAAACATTTTCAGTGACTTGTTGAAAATTCAATAAGAAATCTAAAAAAAACTGGATCCTTGGGGAAGAAAAGTCTTGGTGATAGACAATTTCAAAAGGATCTCACAAAATAAAAAGAGATTTCATGGTACCCCCACATAGAGTGGTTTCCTTAATTCATTGGTGAAAAATAGAACATATTAATTGTTCACCGTCAATTCATTATGGGTATAGAATTATGGGTTTCACTTAGTATGTAGTAACACGAAACTAAGATCATAAACACAGATATTATGTAACCATAAACCTCAGTGGCAGTTGCTGAGAGTCTCAAGGGTTACGTTCATGATATGAGATGTGATGGAGAAAAATGTTGTAGGTGGTTAAGGAACTGAATGTACCTTTGCTATAAAAGTAGGACCAAGCAGAAAATTCTAAGCTCAATATGAGAAGAGAAAGATAGCTCATGATTAGAGTAATTTAACAGTTTTCGGCCGCAAACTCCGGCGACCGGTTTCCGGCCGTAAACTCCGGCCGTGAACACGTTCCCGGCCGTAAACTCCGGCCAGTAAACCCTTCAAACACCGTAAACTCTACAGAAATCGTTGTTTTTGACGAAAACAGCGTTTTTTCACCTTTTTTGCTCCAAAACTCGATCAAAAACTCGTTTTTACGAAAAACGTGAAGAAGAAACCCCACCTAATTTTGCGAGATCTATCCAAAAACGCTATTCTCTTTTCAAAATAATATCAAATAAGCTCCAGATCTGAAAAAAATGATTGATACAACCAAGCTCTGATACCAATTGTAAGTCCCTAATCTGCCTGTGTATCAATCAGATCCGTTTGATGGTGCGGAATCCCAATCAAACGGATGATGTCAGATCAAATAGAAGAGAAGGAGAAGAAGATTAATATAAATCTTGTTTGATATGATTATGAATAAAGATCCGGATACAAGATTCACACACACTAACACACACTCTCTTTTCTCTCTCTCTAGAACACCTTCAAATGCACACACTTAAGCTCCTTGGTGTTCGTTATCCTTTTTCCTCACACCCCTCACCCGTATATATATTGGACTGGGCCGCAAACTGAGTTTGCGGCCGTAAACTCTGTTTACGGTCGTAAACTCACTTCCTGACCGTAAACACATAAGATATTACATAAAAATACAATTTTCTAGAAAAGCAAAGTATAAACCATAATATTGACCCAACACCTCCTGATTGATAAAAATGCCTTCGGGTCCTTATCTAATATTTAAGCCAAGGAAAAAGTTAATCGGACCCATTGAGCTCATTTCAAATTTAGTTTCCATCAACTTCCTGAATTCAACTGTTAGGCTAGGATTCGTGGAGCTGAAGATGATATCATCAACATAAATTTGGACTATCATAAGATGGTTACCCTCTTTCTTATGAAAGAAGGTTGGGTTAACCGAACCTTATTTAAATTTGGACATTTTTAAGAATCGAGTAAGGGTTTCATACCATGCTCTGAGAGCCTGCTTCAGGCCATATACTGCCTTTTCCGGAATGTAGCAGTAATCTAGACACTTCTCGTTCATGAAGCCTGGCAGTTTCTCTACATACACCATTTCTTCAAGTTCTCCATTGAGAAAGGCACACTTCACGTCCATTTGATAGACTTCAAAATTTTTGTGTGCAGCATAAGCAAGAAAGATTCGAACCGATTCTAATCTTGCAACTGGAGCGAAGGTCTCTTCATAATCTATGCCTTCTTCTTGACAATAGTCTTTCACAACCAACCGAGCCTTGTTGCGAATTACGTTTCCTTCCTTGTCTATCTTATTCCTGAAAACCCACTTTAGTCCTACAACCAAAGCATCCTTTGGAATTTTGGAATTGGAATTAATTGCCATACTTTGTTTCGTTCAAACTCGTTCAGCTCATCTTGCATAGCTTGAACCCAATCAGAATGATCAAGAGCTGTATTCGCCATCTTCGGTTCAACTTTGGAGACGAACGAGTTGAACATATAAAATTCTACTTGAGAGAATAATGCGGCCTGTTTTGCTTTTAGCTGTAATCAAGTTAAGACCATTTCGGATGATTCTCAAATAATTTGACTTTGAGGATGATCTTTGGTCCATTTGATGAGAGGAGGGTAATTTGGATCACAAGAGGGATCTAGTTCTGCGTTTATTTCTTCTTTGAGTTCTGATTGAGAATCATCATCATTCATATTTGCATTCTCCCCTTCGAATGACGACATGAGTTCGATGTCTGGTTCAGAACACTCCCCTTCGATTGGACTTTCGGTTGGACTTGATGAGGATTGATTCTCCCCCTAGACTGGTGACTTAGAATTATCTGATGAAGACGAACTCTCCCCCTGAATATGAGAATTATCTTTTGGAGTTTCGCTTGTCACTGGCATTTCAGTTGCGTTCGGTTGTTCTTCTACCATCTTCTTTGCAGCGTCACCAATGATTTGCTTCAGATTGTCGACCTGGTTATCTTTAGCCTTGGATTCGGAATTAATAGCTCTCTCTGGTTAATCGAAAAGCAGTATGTATTGCTCGAAAAGATTTGAAATTGGCACCGTTACTTGATTGGACTATGGAAAGATTTCTTGCATAGCTCCTTCAGTTGCCTTCAACTTCTTGACATAGTTTTCGTCGAACGTGACATAGTAGGTTTCTTCAATTTTCTTTAAACGTTTATTAAGAACCATATATGCCTTTGAGTTCAAGGAGTAGCCCAATAAGATCCCTTCATCAGCCTTTTTATCAAACTTATTTCGGTACTCCTTTGAGTTGAAGATAAAGCATGTTGAACCGAACACATGAAAGAACTTCACATTTGGCTTTTGGATGTTCAAGATCTCATAAGGAGTGATTGAGAAGCGCTTGTTCAGATACGATATGTTCTGCGTGCAGCAAGCAGTAGCAATAGCATCAGCCCATAAATACAGAGGTAAGGAAGCGAAGTTCAGCATGGTTCGGGCTGCTTCACACAAAGAACGATTTTGCCTTTCAATGATTCCATTCTGTTGTGGAGTATATAGAGCAGAAAATTTGTAAGTCGTTCCCTTCTCTACTAGAAAGTCTTCAAAATCCTTGTTCTTGAATTCTAAGTCGTTGTCGCTTCTCACGTTATGAACCACTTTTCATAGTTGAATCTCTACTTGCTTTATAAAGAGTTTGAGATTGGGAGTGACCTCTGATTTTTGCTTCAAGAAAAATACCCATGTGAATCGATAGAAATCGTCTACGATAACAACTATATACTTGTTTCCACCAATGCTTTCGATTAAAGAAGGACCACACAAATCGATGTGTAGTAGCTCTAGTGGTTCTATCACTTTTGTGTTGATTATAGTAGGATGACTTTGTCAACTTTGCTTTCCCATTTCACAAGTTGCACACAAATGTTCTTTGTTAAATTTTAGAACAGGAAGACCTTGAACGTGATCTCCAAGCACTAGCTTGTTGATGTCTTTGAAATTGAGATGTGAGAGCCTTCGACGCCACAACCAGCTTTCGTCTGAGCATGCCTTCATTAGCAGGCAAAAAGCTGGTTTCCCTCGAATTGGATTGAGATTTGGAGGGTACATCTCTCCCTTTCGCTTTGATTTCAGCAGAATATTATTGGACTTCTTTTCAACAATTTATGAGCCTTCGTCATCAAATGAAACCTTTAAACCGGTACCAACCACCAATTGTGAGACACTGATGAGGTTGTTATGTAATCCTTCAACGTATGCTACCTTTGTAACGACCCAATTTTTACGTCCGAAAATTTCATTTTTAAGGTATTACTTTAGAAAACGTTAATAAATAAAAACATTGTTTGTTCACACCATAACACATCGCAACCATGTTCTAAAAAGTCAAACCATACATCCCATCAAAATATCAGAGTACAATCCCAGTAAATCTCATAAATGCGGAAACCGAAGAGTGTGTGTATGACGTGCCGCTACCGCGCCGGCTCCTTCCCCTTCGATGCAGAGGTACCTGAAAACAAAACTGTAAACGTAAGCACAAAGCTTAGTGAGTTCCCCCAACGTACCACATACCAAACAAACACATAACATACGTACTGCCAGGCTATTCTGGGGTGCCTGACTACCCGGTACGGCCATTCTGGGGTGCCGACCTACCCATACGGCCATTCTGGGGTGCCGTCTTACCCGTGTCAAGCCATTCTGGGGTGCTGACTACCCATGTCAAGCCATTCTGGGGTGCTGACTACCCATCGGTCCTAACAACCGATCCTCGGGGACTATTTCACCCCCTACTACTACGATCACATATAACATAACAAGCCAGCATGCAAACATATCATCACATACTGTCAGACGTATCTGGGGTGTCTGACTACCCTTCGGTCCTAACAACCAAACTCTACTACTATCACATACAACATATCATGCTAGCATATAACATATCAGGTAGTAGCAAACTTAGATGATATCACAAAGACAATCATCTATCATACATCTCCTACTGGTGGGTCGGCATTGTGGCCTTAGACCCACTACTACTGGAAGGTAACTCACCTCAAAGTAGATGCTGAACTGATCGGGAACTAACTGACTGCTGCTGCTCCGGGAGTCCTCCGGCTGCAATTCCCACAACATACTCAATCAAACACTGCTAACTGTCCTTTAGGTAAAATGACCATTTTACCCCCGGTCTAGCTCTAAGCCAAAGCTAGAGTCAATTTTCAGTTGACCCGACTCGCCGAGTGGATCTCCACTCGCCGAGTCCCTAGCAAACTATTGTCCTGGGTCCCTGGTTCTACTCGTCGAGTCGGGCTATGACTCGACGAGTTCACCTTCTAACTGTCATTCAACTCCTTCATCCTACTCGCCGAGTTGTATGAACAACTCGTCGAGTTCATCTTCATCCGATGAACACTTTATGCTAAGACTCGCCGAGTTGTATGAACAACTCGCCGAGTCTGTTCTTGATCTATGAAGATTGCCTTGGACTCGCCGAGTCAGGGCATTGACTCGCCGAGTCCTAACATGGGTGAGTTCAGCTCCCAACTCACCGAGTCACCCCCTGTGACTCATGGCTCAACTCGACACATGAAGAAGGGACCAAATCGGTGACTCGCGACCAGACTCGCCGAGTCACCTATACGACTCGCCGAGTCGTCGCCATGCATCACCAAATACACAGATTTACTCGATTTCAGTCCATGCCATTCATAGATCTGGACTTCTAGGACACAAATCACACGTAAAGTTTCCAACTTTACGTGTGGATATTCACTAATGTGGATTTTAGGGTGAAAATGCCTCAAAAGGGTAGATCTAGGATGAACAAGCCACATGGGGCCATAAAGCTCACAGATCTGAGCTCCTGGAGCTCAATCTTGCCTAGATCTAAAGGTTAATCCACTTATTACGAGTCATTAAGCACAAACAAGCTTGGAGAATTGCTCAAGAGTGTCCCAAATGACATCCTAAGCATAGAAACAGGGGAAAACGAGATATACCTCAAGGAAAATGTTGAAATGACACAAAGATGGCTGATCTCCTTCTCCTCTTCTTGATCTACTCCTCTTTCTCCTCAAAACCTTCAAGAACACACCAAGAACACCTCAAACTCTCAAGGAAACAAGGGAAAACGATGTTGGGGGAGTTCTGGGGGTGAATGGGGACGAGTTGGGGCGGAATGAGAGTTTAAATAGGGTGCAAACCCTTGAAACTTAGGGTTTCATCCAGCAGCGGTGACTCGCCGAGTCCAGGATGTGGACTCGCCGAGTCGCCTACTTAAAACGTGTCCTGAGTCTCGTCCCTACTCGGCGAGTCGGACCCTATGACTCGCCGAGTCCAAGGCTAAATTAGGGCAATGCTCAAATAAAATTCACATACCGGAAACCAGGTGCTACAAATCTCCCCCACTTATTTTAGACTTCGTCCTCGAAGTCTGCTGCCTGGTCCTGAAACAGCTCGGGGTAATGCTCCATCATCTCGTCCATCGGTTCCCAAGTCCATTCCGAACCCTTGCGGTGCTGCCATTGCACCTTTACTAGCTTCTACCCTCTTGTTTCTCAACGTCTTGGTCTTTCTATCAAGTATTGCGACTGGGCGCTCAATGTAATTCAAGCTGTCATCAACCTGAATATCCTCCAACGGTACTACTGCTGAATCGTCCACCAGACACTTCCGCAGCTGCGAAACATGGAAGGTGCTGTGGATCTGACTGAGCTTCGGCTGGCAGATCCAGCCTATACGCCACCTTGCCCACCCGGGCTGCAACCCTGAACGGCCCGATGAACCTTGGGCCCAACTTGCCCCGCTTCCTGAATCGAATGACACCTTTCCAAGGCGACACTTTCAGGAGGACCATATCCCCGACTTGGAACTCCAAGTCGGATCGGCGTCTATCGGCGTAGCTTTTCTGCCGACTCTGTGCAGTCTGAAGTCTGCTCCGAACCTGCTGGATTTTCTCGGTCGTCTCTAGCACCACCTCGGTGCTTCCCATGACTCTCTGGCCAACCTCCCCCCAACATATCGGGGTTCTGCACTTCCGCCCATACAACATCTCGAACGGGGGTCGGTCAATACTCGCGTGATAGCTGTTGTTGTAGGAGAACTCAGCCAAAGGAAGTAGGTATCCCAGCTACCACCGAAATCCAGACACACACGCCCGCAACATGTCCTCCAAAGTCTGGATGGTCCGCTCACTCTGACCATCTGTCTGCGGGTGAAAGGCGGTGCTGAAATGCAGACGAGTGCCCAACTCGTCATGAAATTTCTTCCAGAATCTGGAAGTAAAACGCACATCCCTGTCCGAGATTACCGATACTGGCACCCCATGCCGTGCCACAATCTCTCTGATATAGATGTCGGCCAATTTTTCGGCCGATATGCTTCCTGAATCGGAATAAAGTGAGCACTCTTGGTCAATCTATCCACGATGACCCAAATCGAATCCACTCCCGTGCGGTCCTGGGAAGCTTTGTGATAAAATCCATCGTGATATCTTCCCATTTCCACAGTGGAATGTCCAACGGCTGCATCTTGCCATGCGGCCTCTGATGTTCGGCCTTGACCTTCCTGCAGGTCAAACACCGCTCGACGTACCATGCCACATCCGCTTCATGCAAGGCCACCAATAATCCGGACGAAGATCCCTATACATCTTCGTCGCCCCGGGATGAATAGAAAATCGGGACTTGTGCGCCTCCTCCATCAAAATCTGACGCACACCACCGTGATACGGCACCCACACCCTACGGTGTAATGTCAAAAGTCCTCTGCCATCATAATCAAAGAGGAAACCTGACCCACTACACGCTCGCTCTTCCGATGCTCCTCCTTGATAGCCTCCTGTTGAGCCTCCCGAATCTGCTCCAACAGGGGAGTCACCACAGTCATCCTCAAACAGACGTCCCTGATCGGCCGTCTTGCGGCTAAGCGCATCGGCCACCACATTGGCCTTCCCCGGGTGGTAAAGGATCTCGCAATCATAATCCTTCACCACGTCCAACCACCGCCGCTGCCTCATATTCAGATTCGGCTGGTCCATGAGGTACCTCAAACTCTTGTGGTCCGTGTAGATGTACACCTGAACCCCATAGAGTAATGCCGCCAAATCTTGAGGGCAAAGACCACCGCCCCCAACTCCAAATCGTGCCGTCGGGTATTTGCCTCGTGAGGCTTGAGCTGCCGCGAAGCGTAGGCAATGACATGCCCCTTCTGCATCAGAACTGCGCCCAACCCGAAATGGACGCATCGCAGTAACCACAAAAATCCTCTACGCCCTCAGGCAGGGCTAGGATGGTGCCTCACACAATTTCTGTCTCAGCATCTCAAACGCAGCCTGCTGCTCGGGTCCCCACCGAAAACCACGGCTTTTTTCGTCAGTCGTGTCAGGGGGTACGGCTATCTTGGAGAAATCCTGGATAAATCTCCGATAGTAGCCTGCCAATCCCAGGAAGCTCCGAATC